GGTGATCAAATACCACCAAAAGAAAGCTCTATTTGTGTGAAAAAAAGGACGTAATTTTCGTTTGGGTGCAGCATTGCATGACCGCGCAATTATCATTTGAGTTAGTGCAGCGCTGTATAGCAAAAAAGACATAAATTACAGTATCTCTCCCATAGTTTGTAGACGCTATAACTTTCACACAAAGCAATCAATATACACTTATTGGGATTTTTTTTACCAAAAACATGTAGCAGAATACATTCACCAAATACAGCGCCAAATACATTCACCAAATACAGCGCCAAACAGCAAAAAAAGGCCTGGTCATTAAGGGGGGTAAATCCTCTGGGGCTCAAGTGGTTAACAGACGTTTGTGTTGCTTGATTTGGTTTAAATCATAGGTGAAGCGCAGCACTTTATTAATGTTTTAAAACCTTTATCCCCTGTTTTAAGTATCTGGCATTGAATTTTGAGGAGTACCCCACACTGACCTTATATCAGACCCTTATCCAGGCTGGTGGTTAGGAAGGAGTTAATTTTGCCCCTCGGATGATCTGGGAGACCCTTCAGAATTCTGGGAGCACACAATGAAAACCAGGAAACGGTGGCTCTTAATGTGCTCATTTAATGGTAGGGTGAGAAGGAATTAAATACAGACAGTTATTAAAGGAGGATGTCCCTCCATCCAATCAGATTATTACAACCAATATCAATTCAACCAATCAGAACATTATTAGCTAGGAATATTCCATAATATGATCTCATTCTAATAGTTGTTATTATGTAAAAATGCTGTAGTGTGCAGGAATCCAAAGTTCAGTATTTGTAACTAGCGTGATATTAACAATTTTGGGACTAGGTTGTCATGACCCACTAGAAATGTGAATAAACAGTGGCTAGAATAAAACATTCAGTATTGATTGGACCAAAGTTCTCTATCTGTGAGGGAGAAATTAAGTGCTGACATATCAGAATTATTTAAAAGTAGCTTTTAGACAGGAATAAGAGATTAACCTTTTCCCCCACACTGGCCAGCAATGGAGGGGACTGGCAGTGTGCATATGTCCCCTCCCTCCTCCTGAACCATATCTGGCAATATTGCCTCCTCCCCTACAAGACAGATTGCCTCTAGGTTGATGGGGACAACAAGCAGGGCCGGAGCTACCACTAAGCAAACTAGGCAGCCACCTAGGGCACACAACCTCCTAGGGAAGCAGCCAAGGCTGGATCTAGGGGGTTGCTGGGATAGGCTACCCCAACCCCCAGATTTTAGTTGTGGTCCCCCCAGGCTGGTCTTTCCATGGGCACTGTGCCTGGCTGCTGAGTGTTAAAAGGAGAAGGGGGGTGTTGGTTAAGGTGGGAGAATTTAATGCTGGGAAGGGTAACTTGGAGGGGGTTTTGCTAGAGGAGGGATATGTGGGAATTTGTCCTAGGTGGGGAGATTCAAGGAAGAGGATTGGTGCTGGGAGGGGGGATTGGGGGGATTTGTTTTAGGAAAGGGGATTGGGGGTGGGGGAATGTGTGTGTAGGTGGGTTGATTTGTGATAGGACGGGAGATTGGGGGGGGGGAATTTGTGCTAGGAGGGGGGATGGGGGGGAATTTATACTAAAAGGGGGGATTGTGCTAGGAAGGGGGTTCAGGGGTGGGGGGTGGTATTGGGAGAAATTGTGCTAGGAGGGGGGGTTTGGGGGGATTGTGTTAAGAGGGGGGAATTTGTGATATAGGGAACTTGTGCTAAAAGCGGGGATTAGGGGGCATTGGGCTAGGAGGGGGGTTTGGAGGGGATTGTGTTAGGAGGGGAAATTTGTGATAGAAGGTGGGATTGAAGGGGGGGGGGATTTGTACTAGGAGTGGGGCTTGGGGGGGATTGTGTTAAGAGAGGGGGTTTATGAAGGGGGGGAAATTTGTGCTAAAAGAGGGTAGTGGGGGGATTGTGCTAGGCGGGAGGAGAAATTTGTGCTGGTAAAGGTAATTTGGAGGGGATTGTGCTAGGAGGGGTAAAGTAGAACTACAGGTGGAGTGTTTTTTTTTTTTTTTTTTTTTGAGTGTGTGGGGGGGGAGAGGGTGCAAGTAGCTGGTCTTGCCTAGGGCACAAATTAGTCTAGCCCTGGGACAAGTGACTCATCCTCACATCCTTGGCCCAGTGGATGTCGGAGTGTGTTGGGGGGAGGCACTTAAAAAGAAAATGAAAATGGGGGGGGGGGGGGCCACATATATCTGACCCTACCCTCTACATGAATGAGTAAGGGGTACAGAGTACCTTGTTACTCCTTCAAAATAAAAATTACAATGCAGATAAAAAAAAATACTCAGTAGAAAAGTCCTTTAAAAAAAAGTATGTACTGAATGTCTCCTGATGTAAATCCAAAAACAGTCCTGCCATCTCGCGATGTAGATCCAGCATCAATCACAATAATTGAGTGACAACCCACCACAATGAAAATGCTGCCCCACCACAATGGTAGCCTGCTAAATGTCAACAAACCAACCTGGTTGCTGGGGTGATGTCACTCACCAATAATGGTCATGGCCACTTTTGATCAATGACATCATGCAGGACCCCTGCCACTGTGTTTACAATGTGAAACAACCTGTAAGGTACCTGGTGGTAGAACCTGAAGTGCAGAGGAAGGCTTCCCTTGCAGCTCTGGCTCAGGGGCCCTGGCAGAGAAACAGGGAGCGCCGGGGCACAGAGGTGCACGAGTGCCTGGTAGGACTTCTGTGGATGGATGTTGACGTGCGTCAGGAATGCAGGAGCAGCTGGTGGATGGCACACTGGCAGAAGTGCAGGAGCAGGATACTGGCAAGGAGAAGCCGGTTCAGGTGCAGGAGCAGAGTAAGGCAAGGTCAGGCGGTCGGCAAATAACAGGCATTCGATAATCGGCCATGAGCAGGGCTAATGGGTTCTGCGCCTGCACATAGATCTACGCATTCTCTGACGCAACCCGTCAGGAAGCTGTCATTCAGTGGCAGTAGTGATACCACACCTAAATGAATGTCTTCAGGAGTGCCAACGGGTCATGTCTGGCTATTATGTTCGCCCATTACGAAAACTGAACACAGGCTGGTTTTGGGGTTGAACTCATCCCACCCAGAAGCTCATCCCTAGCTGCTAAAATAAATGTGCAATATTTTGGGGTTATGAAGAATTGTAGGATTGGATCATGTTGTGAGTTCAGCATGTAAAGGTAAAATAAATGCTGGTCCTGATGAAGCTGATTGAGACACGCCTATCAGTGAAATGCGTTGATGTCATGTCAGTGACATTGCGGATGGCCATGATTCCATAGAGGTAGCCTGAAACCATGATGGGAGAAACAATACAAACTCGGAAGAGTTAAGAGATGAATAGCGGCTCAGATGTGAACAATATGTGAAATGCCAGGTGGAGGAAAAGGAGACAAACAAGTTGGGACGGCAATGAACACAGTACAGCAATGATCACGGAGGATGACATACCTGATGCAGGGAGGGTGAGCCAAATCATAGTAGACGTCGCACGCCCTGGCGGTGAGTAATCACACCTATTCATATATATGCAGCTGCTCACCTTGACCTTACTGCTCTATGAAGCTGGAAGCCTGTGCTGAACTCTGTGTACTGACTACCATCTTCTCTGCTTATGAACTACTGCCGTTACTGCCTCGCTGAGAACTTCACCTGTTCTGAACTGCCAACCACTAGATGTCTCTTCAGTCTCCCACCATAAGACTGTACAATGAATCCAGTGATAGAAGTCGTGGGACTTGTAACAACAAATGAGCTTTCTTTAGAACGAATTCATTACAGTTGAGGACTCTTCACAGCAGGGCATCCACACCTGGTGCAAGCTGCATTCACACAGTCACACGACTGTCTACCATTCCCTAAATACTCTGCATCACTCCCATCTCTGACTATCCAAAATAGAGGGGCTAACCTATAATACTCTGAGTAGTGACCGGACAGATGACCTGTGTAAGCCGTTGTCTGGTCTCCTATACTCTTATCTATATGGCCATACTGTGACGTCATGTTTAATTTCATTTTAAGGACAGACAACGTTGTCTGGGGTGAGGTGATGGATATTGGCTTGGGTTTATTGTTTTTAGATTTCATTTTTTGAACTCTATATGCACATATATTTAATATTGTAATCAATAAATGCAGTTTTATAAAATACTCACATATGGTTCACCACATTGGTCCCTTAATGTAACCGCTTTCTGGTGGACATCTAGTTCACAAAAACCTCTCTTTGTTGATAAGTAGTGTTTGGTTACTGGGACCACCTACACTATATTGCAAAAAGTATTGGTCGGCCTGCCTTTCACACACATGAACTTTAATGGCCTCCCAGTCTTAGTCTGTAGGGTTCAATATTGAGTTGGCCCCGCCCTTTGCAGCTATAACCGCTTCAACTTTTCTGGGAAGGCCGTCCACAAGGTTTAGGAGGGTGTCTATGGGAAGGTTGAACCATTCTTCCAGAAGCACATTTGTCAGGTCAGGCAATGATGTCGGGGGAGGAGGCCTGGCTCGCAGTCTCTGCTCTAATTCATCCCAAAGGTGTTCTCTGGGGGTCAGGACTCTGTGCAGGCCAGTCAAGTTCCTCCACCCCAAACTGACTCCTCCATGTCTTTATGGACCTTGCTTTGTGCACTGGTGCGCAGTCATGTTGGAACAGGAAGGGGCCATCCCCAAACTCTTCCCACAAAGTTGGGAGCATGAAATTGTCCAGAATGTCACTTCCCTTCACTGGAACTAGGGGGCAAAGCCCCACCCCTCAAAAACAACCCCACACCATAATCCCCCTCAACCAAATGTTGTTACACTTGGCACAATGCAGTCAGGCAAATACCATTCTCCTGGCAAACACCATAACCCAGACTCCTCCATCGGATTGCCAGACAGACAAGTGTGATTGGTCACTCCAGAGAACACGTCTCCACTGCTCTAGAGTCCAGTGGCGAAGTGCTTTACACCACGGCGTCCGACGCTTTGCATTGCACTTGGTGATGGAAGGCTTGAATGCAGCTGCTCGGCCATGGAAACCCATTCCATGAAGCTCTCTACACACTGTTGTTGGGCTCATCTGAAGGCCACACCAAGTTTAGAGGTCTTTAGCTATTGACTCTGCAGACAGTTGGAGACTTCTGCGCACTGTGCGCTTCAGCATGCGCTGACCCCGCCCTGTCATGTGACGTGGCCTACCACTTGGTGGCTGAGTGGCTGTTTTTCCCAGTTGCTTCCACTTTGTTATAATCCTACTAAGGCTAGGTTCACATCTGTGCGGGTGGTGCCGCAGGCAGGTGCCATTAGTTGTATTGGTACGCCGACCGCACTGGAAAACGCAACCGTACTGGAAACCGAGGTTCACGTGCGGGCTGCGTTTTCGGAAGAAGTGCAGGGAATTCTTCCTGCGTGTCACGGGGCACGGGAGTCCATTTAAATGAATGGGCTCTTGTGCCCACGCAAAACGTGGCCTTCACGACCACATATATATGAACCGGGGCTCACAGTTGCGTGTTGAAAATTTAGTCGTCAGGAAATGTCACGGATAGACTTATTGCCCAGGTGACCACCTATCACGGGACCACGCTTGGAGTCACTGAGCTCCTGAGAGCGACCCATTCTTTCAGCAATGTTTTGTAGAAGCAGTCTGCATGCCTAGGGTCTTGATTGTATACACCTGTGTCCATGGAGGGGGATTGGAACACCTGAATCACATGATATGGAGGGGATTGGAGCACCTGAATCACATGATATGGAGGGGATTTGAGCACCTGAATCACATGATATGGAGGGGATTGGAACACCTGAATCACATGATAAGAAAGGGGATTGGAACACCTGAATCACATGATTGGGAGGGTATAGGAAGACCTGAATCACATGGTATGGAGGGGATTGGAACACCTGAATCACATGATTGGGAGGGGATTGGAACACCTGAATCACATGATATGGAGGGGATTGGAACACCTGTATCCAATGATTGGGAGGGCGGGCCCAATACTTCAGGCAGTATAGTGTATATATTTAGTGAGCGGATACCCTGAACACTAGTAGCGTCCTATTCTACCTATTCTAATCCAGTAATATAAATGCTTCACCTGCAATGATAAATGTACAGTCAGTATATATAGAAGTGTTGGGTTCTCCAGACATGCAGGACTGAGATAATATCTGGTGTGTTTTTCTTTTATAGGATGGAATCCAGCGATCAGTAGTTCTCTTCCTTCAGTTGCATTCATAATCTCATGTGTAACATACTGTTTGAGGATATTTTTTACTAAAAGTAAGTTTTTGCTCTTTTATCTGGAAGTAAATAAATGCTGCAAGGTGTGTATGTCATTAGAACTGTTATATAACCTCAGATTAGACGTGCAGAACAAAAACATTCATTAGTTTCAAATTCTATTTTAGGTCACTAAATTTTGTTTTGTTGCATTTGTAACGCAATTCATTTCATTTAATTTTGTTTATTTGTTTTTGACCAAATTACATTTTTTTTACAATGGATTCGAATTGAGTCAAATTTGAAATTAATTGGAAATTAATTTGAATCAAAAAAAAATTGGAATTTTGGAAGATGGCTATATTGATTCTATTCTATTTTGTTTCTGTTTTATTGTTTTATTCTATTCTTTTTGAAATGTGAATTTAGTTTCGGAAGACAGCTATATTCTATTTTCTTCTATTCTATTCAAAATTCAAATTTCAAAAGATGGCAATATTCTCTCTTTTTCTTTTCTATACTATTCTATTCTTTTCTATCATTTCCTTTATTTTCTATTCTTTTTATTTTTTATTCTATTTGTTTCTATTTTAGTCTGCTTTATTCTATTGTTTTATATACTATTCTTTTTGAAATGTGAATTTCAGAAGACAGTTATATTCTATTTTATTTTAATCTATTTGAAATTCAGATTTCAAAAGATGGCTATATTCTCTCTTTTCTATACTATTCTATTCTTTTCTATCATTTTCTTTTATTTTCTATTCTAGTCTTATTTTCTTTTTTATTCCTTAATTTTCTATTCTATTTGTTTCTATTTTATTCTGATTTATTATATTTTTTTCTCGTCTATTCTTTTTTAAGCTTCCATACGGGGCACTTTTACCCCCTTCCTGCCCAGGCCATTTTTCAGGTTTCAGCGCTCTGTTTGAATGACAATTGCGCGGTCATACAACATACCCAAACTAAAATTTTATCATTTTCTTCACACAACTAGAGCTTTCTTTTGGTGCTATTTAATCAACACTGGGGTTTTTTTATCTTTTGCTAAATTAACAAAAAAAGACCGAAAAATTTTGAAAAAAAAAACCCACATTTTTCTGTTATAAAAGTTTGCAAATAAATAATTGTTCTTTATAAATTTAGGCCAAGATGTATTCTGCTACATGTCTTTGTGTGAAAATAACCCAAATTAAGATGTATTTTTTTGTTTGTTGGAAAGTTATAGAGTTCACAAACTATGGGATATACAGTCAGGTCCATAAATATTGGGACATCGACACAATTCTAAAATTTTTGGCTCTATACACCACCACAATGGATTTGAAATGAAACAAACAAGATGTGCTTTAACTGCAGACTATCAGCTTTAATTTGAGGGTATTTACATCCAAATCAGGTGAACGGTGTAGGAATTACAACAGTTTGCATATGTGCCTCCCACTTGTTAAGGGACCAAAAGTAATGGGACAGAATAATAATCATAAATCAAACTTTCACTTTTTAATACTTGGTTGCAAATCCTTTGCAGTCAATTACAGCCTGAAGTCTGGAACGCATAGACATCACCAGACGCTGGGTTTCATCCCTGGTGATGCTCTGCCAGGTCTCTACTGCAACTGTCTTCAGTTCCTGCTTGTTCTTGGGGCATTTTCCCTTCAGTTTTGTCTTCAGCAAGTGAAATGCTCAATGGGATTCAGGTCAGGTGATTGACTTGGCCATTGTATAACATTCCACTTCTTTCCCTTAAACTCTTTGGTTGCTTTTGCAGTCTGCTTTGGGTCATTGTCCATCTGCAGTGTGAAGCGTCCAATGAGTTGTGAAGCATTTAGCTGAATATGAGCAGATAATATTCCCGAAACACTTCACAATTCATCCGGCTGCTTCTGTCAGCAGTCACATCATCAATAAATACAAGAGAACCAGTTCTATTGGCAGCCATACATGCCCACGCCATGACACTACCACCACCATGCTTCACTGATGAGGTGGTATGCTTAGGATCATAAGCAGTTCCTTTCCTTCTCCATACTCTTCTCTTCCCATCACTCTGGTACAAGTTGATGTCGGTCTCATCTGTCCATAGGATGTTGTTCCAGAACTGTGAAGGCTTTTTTAGATTTCGTTTGGCAAACTCTAATCTGGCCTTCCTGTGTTTGAGGCTCACCAATGGTTTCCATCTTGTGGTGAACCCTCTGTATTCACTCTGGTGAAGTCTTCTCTTGATTGGTGACTTTGACACACATACACCTACCTCCTGGAGAGTGTTCTTGATCTGGCCAACTGTTGTGAAGGGTGTTTTCTTCACCAGGGAAAGAATTCTTCGGTCATCCACCACAGTTGTTTTCCGTGGTCTTCTGGGTCTTTTGGTGTTGCTGAGATCCCCGGTGCGTTCCTTCTTTTTAAGAATGTTCCAAACAGTTGTTTTGGCCACGCCTAATGTTTTTGCTATCTCTCTGATGGGTTTGTTTTTTGTTTTTTCAGCCTAATGATGGCTTCACTGATAGTGACAGCTCTTTGGATCTCATCTTGAGAGTTGACAGCAACAGATTACAAATGCAAATAGCACACTTGAAATGAACTCTGGACCTTTTATCTGCTCATTGTAATTGGGATAAGGAGGAATAACACACACCTGGCCATGGAACAGCTGAGAAGCCAATTGTCCCATTACTTTTGGTCCCTTAACAAGTGGGAGGCACCTATGCAAACTGTTGTAATTCCTACACCGTTCACCTTATTTGGATGTAAATACCCTCAAATTAAAGCTGACAGTCTGCACATCTTGTTCGTTTCATTTCAAATCCATTGTGGTGGTGTATAGAGCCAAAAATGTTAGAATTGTGTCCATGTCCCAATATTTATGGACCTGACTGTATCTGAATATTGATCAATCCTGAAGTACTGACAGCCAATCTAATTTCTTGAGGTCCAAGAATGTCAGAACAGTACAGATATCCCCCAAATGTCAGGACAGTACAGATATCCCCCAAATGTCAGGATGGTACAGATATCCCCCAAATGTCAGGATGGTACAGATATCCCCCAAATGTCAGGATGGTACAGATATCCCCCAAATGTCAGGATGGTACAGATATCCCCCAAATGTCAGGATGGTACAGTTATCCCCCAAATGTCAGGACGGTACAGATATCCCCCAAATGTCAGGACAGTACAGATATCCCCCTCAATTGTCAGGACAGTACAGATATCCCCCAAATTACCCCTTTTTGCAAAGTCGACAGTCCGACATATTTCATAAGAGGCATGGCAAGTTTTTTGAAGTTTGTATTTTTTTTGGCATTTTTCGGAAAATGAAAAAATTTATAAATTATTTTTTTTTTACATATTGTCACCTGTGCAGTAAAGTGTCATCGTATAACTGGCATGGCTGTGATCAGGGACACTGACTGGTGACAGTATAGGAAAAAAAAAAAATATATTTTTTGTTTAATTTTTTTTATTTTGTTTAATTTTTCTTTTTTTTTTTAAGATTTTTTTTCTTCATATTTCACTATGATCAAAGTAGTACAATGTTACCATAGTAACATTGTACTACTTTGGGGAAGTGATCAGTATTTTTTTTTTTTTTTTTTTTACACAAATTTGCTTATAGCAAAGAATTACTTTGCTATAAGCAAGCATTTACCTGAATGACATCGATTCATTCAGGGTTTTTTTTTTTTTTTTTGTGTTTAGCTGTAATTTGGCCACGGCTAATCACATGACACAGCTGTGCTGTGATTGGCCCAGCTTGTGCATGTGATCGCTGTGACCATTCACAGCTAGACACACTAGTATACAATGGATGGCATGAATGAAGTCATCCATTGTATACAACTCTCGTGACCTTCTGTGATTGGTCACAGCAGGTCACATGGTACTGGCAATGGGGCCGGTACTCAGATCTGTCATCGGCCGTGTCCGAGGTACACGGCCGGTGACCGATCACGGCTCTGCGTGCATGCGAACTGCGCATGCCTAAAAGGACGCCATATGGCGTCCACCCGAAGTGGTGAGGGTTTTTTCCGGCCGCCATTCGGCCATAGGCCGGGCGGGAACCGGTTAAAATGTGTATTTCGGAAGACAGCTATATTCTATTCATATTTCAAAAGATGGCTATATTCTTTCTACTCTATACTATTCTATTCTTTTCAAAATTCGAATTTCGAAAGATGGCTATATTTTAACTCCAATGCACACAGTTTTTAAAGGAAATCACCAATAGTTGGCAATATGATTACAGCTTGAATTTGTTTTCAAATTTCATTAGAATTATTTCAGACAAAATTTTTTGTTATTTTGGGTTTGTTTATTTTCATTACTATTTTAATTCAGATACATCTGAATCTCTGAATAACAAAAATGTCATCCAAAGTTTGTTTTGGAACAAAATTAATTGCACATTTCTACATCACATACTAGAACATGTGTTATCAGATTGTTTTAGGACCAGAAGATCCTCCAGACCACCAACCCTGGGCTCCAGAAAGTGCTGAGAATGTCCTGTGACATGCACAACAGATTGATATTCAAAAAAATGATAATCGTCTGTTAACATTTTGTCTGTTCCTTTTGATACTGACACACATCAGCCTCCTGTTACAGTGGGGCAAAAAAAGTATTTAGTCAGCCACCAATTGTGCAAGTTCTCCCTCTTAAAAAGATGAGAGAGGCCTGTAATTGGCATCATAGGGAGACCTCAACTATGAGAGACAAAATGAGAAAACAAATCCAGACAATCCCA